CATGACACTACATCAGGGTCATCTCATAAAAACATGTCATTTTTACAGTCTGCCTGTTTCTTTGGCCAGTACATGATTAATATTTGCTCCGACAATTGTTACCTTGTACTACAGTACCTTGCCTAAGCATTTTCAGCATTTTAGACACTAATCATTTTACTGATTGATAAAAGAGCGATGAATATTACAAAGTAAAGGGCTGTCTAATGTATATGTAGAACAGTTGGGGCTGTCTAATGTATATGTAGAGCAGTTGGGGGTGCACTGATATAACAAGCACTACAGCCTATAAAGCATTTGTGTGCATATGCACAGCAGACAATCTCTCATTCAGATTCACTGGATTTCTTTCTAATGGGGCACAAAAAGCTAAGGTGAATTTGAAAAGTAAAAGTGATTGCTATGTGAATGGTAAAGTCTATCATAAAGCAGTGGATATGTACTGTATTGTGTGTTTTTGTTTGTCTTGCATTTGAAAGACAGTGCATGCAGTCCTATTTAAAATCATGTTTACAAAGTGCATGAGTAAAGTGCACTCAGAGCACCAGTTAAGAGTAAAACTCTTGCAGGAATCCGGAGCTGTTCCCTGTGTTATAGCAGGCCAAGGTCAAATGAACTTATTATACAATACTCTACAACAACATTTGCACAAATAGAACCTTGTAAACCTAGAATTCAGCTCATCTTCGAATCAACAGTGGCATTAATTTGATATCATCTTCATGTATCCTTACTGTATTTTGCTATTACCAACAGATTACAGGACACTTTGTGTCTCGGAGACTGTGGGCCCTCTTCTCATTACTCAACATTTTTATCCTGATGTTAGGTATTTTTAGTCAGATAGAAATTGGATAGATACTTTATGTATTAGAAATGTTTAGTGGAGATAGGATGTCTAGTTAGATTGTTAAATGCTTAGGCATGCTTATGAGTTTCTACAGGGTACATCTGGTCAAGGTAATCATAATATCTTCTTATGCTTAATGTCAGGACATGTCACTGGATGTCCTGTCAGAATGTCTTAGATACACACCACACAATCAACGGACAATCGCACATTGATTTTCTTCATGCTTTGACTACTGCTCTGGCCAGCTGCATAGCTGGCATATCAGGTGACGTCACGGTTTAACGTAGCCTGGGTAGAATGGGGTTAGCCCAAAGCAATATAATGTACAGGCCTGGTGGGTTCGGGGTCTTTCATCTTTCCAAGCTGCCTGCGTGCAGTTTGGAGGTGCAAGATACCTGAGCGTGTAATGTTAATTTTTACCTGTGTTCATGGAATAAATCAGCACTGTTTTGAAGTTACTTGGACTGTCTCGTCTCTCAGAGTCAGTATGGTAAAAGGTACGAGGTACAACACTGACAAACAGCATTTATGTTAAAAAAGAAAAGAAAGAAAGATATTTGAGTCCTTTTACCTGCAATATTCCTGAATGTTTGATGCATTTATAAGTACCATTTTTCTCTGCTTTCTGAAACTTTCCACATAAGAAATTCATCAAGGTTTCAAAATATCGTTGGTAGAAACCTAATGTTATTTTGGAGCATCTGGTGCATTTATAAACGTGTTATCTTTTTCTACAGATATAAAGGAATGACTATATTTTTCTTTCCTTGTAGGTACTGTAAACTCCTAAATCAGACAAGACAGAATCATTTTAATCAGCAAGAGGAGGGGTTGCATCTTAGAAGTGATATTATCACTTTCTAGCAAGTAAACATAAATAACCAAGCTACAAGAAATAATGTGAAAAAATTCACACAACTGACATCTTTTTCTTTTTTTTCCTCAGCAGGCCTCCAAAAAGTCCCCCCATGCATATCTACAGTGGCTTAAGTAGATTCGACTGTTAAAATCCATAAACCATAAATTTAATGGCTATCTAACAGATCAGTCTACAGACAAACAAAACAATGTCAAGTGCAAACTGACTCATTCATTCCTTGGGATTATTTTTGTACAGTAGTTGTCACATGGGGGCAGTGTGACAACCAGACTGCACATTGCAGATTCTGCATAGCAGCATTCACACCTCATTTACAAAATCTATGGCACTCCATTCTAAGTGAAAGCTATAAAGCATCTCATATAGTCGACTGTAATACAGCATCATAAGCACCTTATATGAGCACTATCGGCCCCATTATGCATTATTCATCACTGCTATGTCACAGGCATTAACAGCATTAATATTAAATCTTGTGCAATACTTTTTAAAAAATGCATCTGACATGTAACACATCCTTTGTGGTAGATTAGGTTTAACTGTCTCAGTCAAATGCTCTTTGTTTGCTGCTAGAGGAGAGCAGAGCACTCGTCATTTGCTTTGATCGGCTCTGATTTTCCCAGCATAACCTCAGGATCAAACTCTGCATTAAAAGGTTACCTCTGTTAGGTATTTTTAGTCAGATAGACATAGGATAGATACTTTATGTATTAGAAATGTTTAGTGGAGATAGGATGTCTAGTTAGACTGTTAAATGCTTAGGCATGCTTATGAGTTTCTACAGGGTACATCTGGTCAAGGATAACTAGAGAGAAGAGTTGATGACTGTCAGCAGACAGGATGTTTAATATTATTATTATGACGTGTAGAACTGTAGCCTTAGCCATAATATGTTCTTATGTTTAAGCCACGACATGTACTAGAGGTTGTGAGAATGTTTTTAGTTACACACCTCTTAATCAACAGACACACACATGCACATTGATTTGCTTCATGTTTTGACTACTGCTATGACCAGCTGCAAGGCTGGTAACAGAGACGTCTCGGTTGACGTTTCTGTGTAGTATGGGGCTAGCCCAACCGAGGGGATATAATGTATAGGCCTGGTGGGTTCAGGGTCTTTCATCTTACATCTGCCTGCGTGCAGTTTGGAGGTGCAAGATACCTGAGCGTGTCATGTTAAATTTACCTGTGTTCATTGAATAAATCAGCACTGTTTTGAAGTTACTTGGACTGTCTCGTCTCTCAGAGTTAGCAATGGTAAGAAGAACCAAAGTCCAACACCATCCAAAGGATTTTACCTAATAAAAAATCTGTTCTTCTGCCTATAGCTCTGGCCAATTGCTTCAAAGTAAGCATTTTTAAAAATCTTTTGGAGGAAAAGTCATAACAGTGAATATAAGGATAAAATACTATATATACTTGTCTAACAGAATAGACAAGAGCATGGTGTTACTGAACTTGTATTTCTGGAGTGTGTGGTGAATGATATAAGGATTAGCATGTGACTGCAACTATTCTGCAAAGCAGGTGCAGGCTGAAATGAAGCAGAAATACAGCAATATTAATGGTTAACTTAAATGGGCGGCGTGTTTTAAATGATGCACATTCCAAACTAGCCACCTGGATCCATTTCCCCAACCAGATTTAAGCTTCTTTTAATTTCTCAGTATTGCCGACCTTCTTCCTGCTACACCAGCTGAGTAAACAGCTCAGCCCCTGCATATCTGAAACATTAAGAACTAAAATATGTACAAAGGCCTCTATGTTTGCAAGGTTTGTAACTGGATCTCAGCCTTGTTATGAAAACACTTAAGTGGGTCTGCTTTTGGAGATTATGCTGCCGTTGCGCTCCAGTTCTTCTTACCATTGCTAACTCTGAGAGACGAGACAGTCCAAGTAACTTCAAAACAGTGCTGATTTATTCAAAGGATCACAGGCAAAATTGACATTACACGCTCAGGTATCTTGCACCTCCAAACTGCATGCAGGCAGATGTAAGATGAAAGACCCTGATGAATAATGCATAATGGGGCTGATAGTGCTCATATAAGGTGCTTATGATGCTGTATTACAGTCGACTACCAGGCCTATACATTATATCCTCTCGGTTGGGCTAGCCCCATACTACACAGAAACGTCAACCGAGACGTCTCTCTTACCAGCTTTGCAGCTGGCCATAGCAGTAGTCAAAACATGAAGCAAATCAATGTGTGTGTGTGTGTCTGTTGATTAAATGGTGTGTAACTAAAAACATTCTCACACGACCTCTAGTAACATGTTGTGACTTAAACATAAGAACATATTATGGCTAAGGCTACAGTTATACACGTCATAATAATAATATTAAACACCCTGTCTGCTGACAGTCATCAACTCTTCTCTCTAGTTATCCTTGACCAGATGTACCCTGTAGAAACTCATAAGCAGGCCTAAGCATTTAACAGTCTAACTAGACATCCTATCTCCACTAAACATTTCTAATACATAAAGTATCTATCCAATATCTATCTGACTAAAAATACCTATCACAACAACCAGGGCAAGGTGAACCCTCTAGAGCTGATGATGGTCTGGTGGTGATCCATATCCACAGCAGTTGTCTGCTTTGCCTGTTTGGTAATGCCACCTGCTTAATATCCATACTGTATGCAGCAGCAGGAGGAGCAGGGTTAAAGGGAGCAGCCCGCCTCTGTGGCCACATTTAAAACTGCATCGAGACTTATGACAACTGTAGATCAGTGAGCCATCAGCCCCCCGCCTCTCTCTCCTTTCAGGGATTTGTAGTTTTTAGTGTAAAGAACGTCGCTGCGTGGTAAAGGCCTTTGTAAGTGTAAAACTACAGTTCCCTCAGAGCTACTCGGAGGTGTTAGTTGTCAATATGGCTGTTGTCAGACAGACAAAGCGGAGAGGCAAATAATTCGCCTCTATTTAGAAATCCTTGAAAAAGGGTCGGATAGGGCACTGTTATCAAATTGCTTTATTGTTCGGCTGCAGTAGAAGACACAGCGGGTCTTTGCTCAAGTTGCAAAGTTAAATGGTTAAGTGGACGATTTCAACCGAGGTAAGTCATGTACTTAGCTATCTACAGTAGTGAAAGTTATGTTATTAATATCAAACGTTCGCTACGCAGCGACAGCGGCTAACGTCAGCTAGTATCAACGTTGGTATGGCTAGCAGGTTATGCTAACCATTCCACAACCCAGTGCTACCAAAATAGCGTGTGTTAAGTTGCTATCCGTCCGATGTGATGCCAGAGGACTGTTAGAATACATTTAAACGGCAGCGGCACAGAAAAGGATTGAAATCATCCTAGGTTGGAGGGCTGCAAGCCGGCTATTTTAACGTTACATTGGGCATTGTCCGTATGCCACTGAAACATTTGCTACCGTTAGCTTTTGGGCAAAGGGCGTGAAAGCTGGCATCAGTAGTGGCTTTCCTGCAGCGCAGACGAGCGACAGATTTGTGCGCTTACCGCAGGCCCCGCAATCGGCAAAACAAAAACACGGGGGGAAAAGATAAACCAGTGGCTATGATCAATTTTAAGACTGGGCCAATGTAAAAAAAAATACCTGCACTGTAAAGAAACGCGAGTTTAGTTTGCAGTGCTAATATCTGATGTATGTAACCTTTATTTAAGGGAAATCCTCGTCTGTTTTCACTTGCATGATGAACAAACCAACGCTGTAAGTGTTTTCATTTGTTAATCCCTGAGCTCTTGAACTCGGTTGTTCTGTTAACAAGTGCTTATCAAGCCCGCTAAGGATATGGTTTAGCATCTGTGAAAGACAGTCCCATTGCAGTTGTCTTATAATTAGAAAGAGCAGGATCAGTCAGAGTTGTTTCTCTTGCTTGCACACATGTCCAACCTTTATGTGACCTAAAGTAAACCAGTGTAGAGCATTAATTTGTAACGTTTGCCTTCCTGCAGGGGCTAACCGCTGCTCATTGTGTTTCAACCAGTTAACCCAGCTTGAGCCAAAATGATTAGTTAACTTAGCAAATACTTAAACAGGATGGGTAATGATTACTGACCCATGGTTTTGTTTGCTGCACAGAACAGCACAACATCCAAATGTAAGCAGTGATATTCTGGTACAGTTAAGTGAACACTGTAGTTTGAAGTGAGTGTTTGGTGGGTGCATCTCAGTGATATGTGACAGGATTTGCAGTGCAACTGTGCTTGGTAATAATTTACAGCATCAATAGAATTCTTATGAATTTGTAATAACAACTTCAGAGACTAGTTAATCTTCACCATTGCCACTAAGCTACCCTGTGTATAGAAGTAATTTATTTCAGTGCTGGCACAAAGTGACTTTTCCTGCAGCGGTCTGAAATGCTGGCAGTTTTTCTTTTTACAGCCTCTTACGGACTTCTAAAGGCTTTTATTCACTATAATCATATTAGCTTCCTTTGTAATAACCTCAAACAGTGCATGCACTTTGAAGCCATTTAGTTTTTCTGTCCTCTGCCCAGTTTAGACTAACACATGTAGAAAAATGCCAGTGACCCCTTTTAAACCATTTATCATATCAGCATAGGTCGGGCTGGCATAGCAGATGGAAAATCTGCCGCAGTCTGATTCCAGTTGCATTGATTTTGAGCGCAGTAAATTGCTTATGAAAAACATACAGCGTGGGTGGTGTGCAGAGCCGGGGATATATTGTAGCTTTTAAAGAATGGCAGACAGAATGTTAAGATAGCATCAGCTGTCAAGGTGACTCTGGCACTCTCCGTGTGTTGCCTGCTGGTTCCCAAAAATAGCTGATTTTTATGCCCTGCCCCTCCCTCCCTCTTTCTTTCACACTTCTGTCTCTTGCTCTTGTCTTCCTTTTCCTATCTGCTGCCTCTTTTTCTTCTTGCAGTTGTTTCTCGTTTCCCACCCCTCTCTTTCTACTGTAGCCCTTAAACTCTCCCTCTCTACCTCACCCCTTCCTTCCCATCATTCTCTTTTTCTCCTTGCCTCCGCCATCTCTTCATCTGTCACAATTCTGCCTGATCTTTCTTTCTCTTCCTGTTGCCTCTTGAAATCTTAAACATCCACTTGCTGCCCTTTCTTTAAATTCCCCCTGCATGTCCTGATTCCTTTCCCTTCCTCTTCTTCCTCTTGTGTCTCATAACCTGTCTGTCTTGTCTCTTGTCCAGCAGCAGGATGTCTGAGTTCAGCGAGGAGCCGCGCTTCACTATTGAGCAGATAGATCTACTGCAGCGGCTGCGTCGCACTGGCATGACCAAGCAGGAGATCCTGCACGCGCTTGACACTCTGGACCGGCTGGACCGGGAGCACGGTGACAAGTTTGGCCACCGCACCTCTTCTTCCTCCTCCTCCTTGTCCTCCTACGGAGTAGGCGGGGCAAACAGCTGCACCAACAACTCTGCCTCTAACACAGCTACCACATCTTTAAACGATAACAACACTGCCTCGGCAACCACCACCTCTTCCACGTCATGCAACGGCAACAACAGCGCCATCAACAGCGGAGAGGGCAGCGCTGTCGATCACTCTGCGGTCACCGCCTCTTCCACGACCTCCAAAATCTCCATCGCCACGCAGACTCAGTTTAGCAGTGGCGGGGGACTTTCGCCATCTCCTAGCAACAGCTATGACACCTCCCCGCCTCCAGGGCCGCCTCCGCCTTCTGCTGTCATGCCATCACCAGTCTCCTTGGTGGCACTGTCACAGAATGGGCGCGATAGCCTAGCTGCTACACCCAACGGGAAGCTGTCGCCTCCACGATATCCAGTGAACAGTGCAGCCGCAGCACGAGCATTTGGGTTTGAAGCTACAGAAGAAGACCTAGATACTGACGATAAGGTGGAGGAGCTGATGAGGTCAGTAGTAACAGGACAAAGTGAGTTCTGAAAGTTTGAACCATTTATCCAACTTGAGTTTGGAGCCCGTAGAACTAGACACGTTATTGATAGTATGTTGGTTATAGTGATGTGATACGATGTGTCATCAGAGATTGTGGTTATCTTTTAGTTTCATAGCTTGTTATGTTTTGCTAGTGTGAACGACTTCATTCACTCAACTCATACCATGTTTGAACTTAGCGGGCTGTTCTCGCTGTATGAAATGAACACTGAATGAATGAATGACCAAATGGCCAACAATGGAAAAGCTGGATAGCACTGGCATTTGTACTTGAAAAATGACTAGGTGACTTGGTGTATCTAAAATAGTGCAAATAAGTAAGTTACTAATTAAGTTTTTGTTGGTGGACTAATCAGTTATTCAGCTAATACTTGCAGCTGCTGTTGGATGTTTAGCGGAAAAATCTCATCTAATTTAGCTCTGAAGCTTTTGATCATCTAACGTGTGAACTTCATCAGCAGATGGAGTTTTGCCACTTGTCATGGAGGTATTGATGTTAGTATTTTCTTAGCACTTTAAAGAGTTATTTTTGTCTGTTGGTTTCAAAGTTCATTGTTAACTCTGAAAACAGAAGTTGAGTCCATTTAGCAGCTGTTCTGGAGCTTACAGATAAAAAAAATGAGGCCAGTTTCTTTTTAAGCTCTTATTACAGTAGCTGTTTTAAGGTTGGTTTTAACATGCTGAGGTAGTGTATATAAATGTGTCTGGGTAAAGACTGTTCACCAGGATGCGCTTGCTTGAAAATGGTTTTGCCATCTCAGTTCGTCTTTGTTTTTCCCCTTACATTCACTGTCATTACTGGGAAGGTTTCAGTTGTTGTTCTCTAATTGCATTAGGTGTTAAAATGAAGTGCATCACTCTAGGCCATCATTGCTTGTTGGTTGCACTGATGCCAACGCAGCTGGAAACTGTGAGAGACTTGGTGTGACCTCAGTGAGAGAGGTTACCTTCAAGGTACAATTCTGCTTTGTGGCGGTGTTGCAGTCAAAACTGTAGATACGCTTAACTTGATCAGTATGTTTGGTATTATCTGGCATTGTTGCTCATTTATGATCATTTTTATGGCTTTTCAGTCAAGAGAAGGTTAGCACTGGCAGTGGCTTTGCCAGATTTTGTCTTGTGTGTTTAAACTAATCTTCCTTAAACCAGCTCATTGTTGTCATCATTATTAGCAAAGAGGTTAAGCTGATCAGTTCCAGTTGTCCTGGGTGGGCCTGTGGGAGACTGAGCTGGTCCTTTACATGTGCAGTGGGCATCAGAACAGCTTGACACTACTGGTGCAACTTAATGTTATTATTGATACATTTGCTGAATATTTCCTTAGTGCATGGATTCATTGCTTGGTATATAAAATGGTGAAACATGCTCTTCACAACTTCCTAAAATCTAGGTGATATATTTCTGTTTTGTCAAATCAACAAGCCAACCCCTAAATATATTGACAGTTACTATCAGATAAGGAAAAGAAAAGCAGACAGTCCTCACAATGGAAGAGCTGGAGTCTGCAAGTTGTGTGCTTAAATAATGACTTAGTGCATCTAAATAAGGCAAATAATATAGTTGCTAATTAACTTTCTGTTGATTGACTAATCAGGTAATTGTTTTAGCTCCACTTGAGACGCAGGATTGAGCTTTTACTGCAGTTCATGTCGGTTTCTTAATTGATCTTTTTTTAAAATTGTGCCAGTTAAAGATGCACAGTGAATACATTTAAAAATGAAACGGAAAGGCTGAAGTGCTGGCTTGGCTTTTAGTTTTTGAGCACAACAGCACTACATGACAGTAGGGCTGGACCCGAATATCTGAATATTCGGCTATTCATTTGTTGGGTAGGTGATCGGTTTTCAATTTTAGCATTCGAGTAGCTCCAGGACAGGACGAAGTGAAAGTGGCTGCTGTCAGGCTTGTGACCTCACTACAGCTGGTGGAGGAAAAAGACAACATGTTGTCTGCTGTTGGCATATGAGGTAAAGAGGCATCGCTGTGCAACACCACTGAATACTTAGTCAACTGAGTGCTTCTCTGTCGCTCCACCAATTCCAACAGAGTGAGACCTCTTCAGTTGATCTCAGCGAATATTGTGATTCAGATTTGAACATTATTACCACCAAATATCCAGAGCCCAAAAATTGCCATGCAGGACAGCCTTACATAACAGTTGTGCTGAGTACATGTGTCTCAGACAGCATATACCACATAAAGATGTACGCCCTTTAATGCAGTATCAGATGTGTTCTTGTTGAGACTACCTGTACAGTCAACAAAGATGTTATTGCATAAAAAGGGACACTGGAGAACCATTCAGGGTTGAAGATGACATTTTCTATGAAGGAAGAAAGAGAAGCCTCTCAGTGGTGCACCTCTGGAAACACCACACACAGTAACCTCAGATCACATTAGGTTAGAAGTCCTGTCAGTAGTTACTTAGGCCCATTACTCTGACAGCTTCAGTGTTCATAATCTATCACAGTCCAAATGTTAGCCACCTCCTCTCTTCTGTGAGCACTTTACACATTAGCCCTCTCCTCCTATTGCTGTGGGCTCCTGCCACCTGCCCACTGCCCTGTATGCACTGTCAGAATAAGAATAGACATTTAGAGCCCAGGCTCTGTCCTCAGCACTGCACTAGCTGTCCCGTTGTTCATTCACGCTGCCTCTGCATTAAATTACATGTCCTCTGTAGAGAGCCCAAGAAGTTAAGCAGCGTTCAGAAGGCCTCGTCCTCTACATGTGTAGGACTCTCCAGTATCCAACTTGGCAGGGCTGCGGGGGCATGACACGAAGTTTCAGCCTGTCAACAATCCCACGGCGCCCTTCTGATTTTTCTCACTTTTAAGTGCATATTTCTGTCTCTGCAGGGGTTCGGCCTTTGAGTTGGCATCCACCATCCCCTCCTCCCTCCTCCACTTCCCACTCTTCCTCAGTCTTGTACAGCAGCTTGTGCTACATTGATTCGCTGGTGTCGATACAAGCAGCGTTTTTGTGCTCTAATTTTAGCTGCGCCGCAAGAGGTTGGTGTGGAGGATATTGATGCTGGATGTCAAGAGTCGTGACGCATTTTCATTTCACAAATATGCTAACAGACTGCTCAGAACTCTGATACGATCTCCATTTTGGCTGTGAGAGTCTGGCATATTGACTGGTTCAGAGGATGCTGCAACTATATGGTTGGAGCAGCAGTGCTGTTGAAGTTGGGTGGGGTAGGCACCCGCTGGAAATGCCATCCTGTTAAAAAGAAAAAAGTACATAAGGATAACATAACAAAAAAGGATAAGTGCACAAAACCAGTTTACACATCTGCACCAGGATGAGAAACTAAGCCAAGACAGTCATAAGCTTGTTGGTGTGTGTGTGTGTGGGTATATGTATATTTGTATTACTGTCTATGTATAGGGGAGGGGATTGGGCTCATAGCCAGAAAGCAGGGTGGGTACACTGTGTGACTGCACATGTTCACTCCCCACCCCTCCACCCCTGCATGTCGGTGCACGTTTTATTTTTTCCTTGCTGAGAGCTGAGGTACTGGACATGTGCCCACCAAATACATGTAGAAAATATATATTACTTGATTGCGGCTCAGTTCATTTTAATTCACGGAGTCGTTGCGTTTCTGTTCCTGTGAAATGCAACACTGATTATGTGGGAGCCATAAAATCAAAGAACAATACACCAACAGTGCTGTCAAAACGCAGCTCAGATGATAAAACTAAGGCTCTATTTTAGTTTTCCCATGAATAGGCACAATGTAAAAGCACAGATTTGATGATCTGCTATTAAGCAGAGGCAGCGCTTATTGCAGTGTATAGCAGACAACTCGTGTGAGTCTCATGTAAAGGTGCGCAGCAACAAAACAACAAAAGCGTACATGTCAGCATTTGTGGCTAATGCTGGGTAAATGATGATCTGGCAGCTTGCACCAGAACTGAACATGACTGAATCCATCTAAATAATAATGAGAAAATAAAAGCTGAAATTCTGGCTGAGTACACTCATCCATGCACTTTACCTTGGCTACATACAGTGTCTTCATGATATCAGTGTAAACTATACCAGTATGATATCAGATATCAGTGTGTTAGGTTTTACTAGACCTCATTAAATCAGTCAAATTGTGCAGGTTTTTGTATGTTTGCTTCTGTAAAATAAATCATTGCTACTCCGGATGTAGCAGCTGACAGTGTATTAATGCTGTGTTGTCATTTGTGCTGTGTGTTTGCAGGAGGGACAGCAGTATGGTGAAAGAGGAGATCAAAGCGTTCCTGGGGAACAGGAGGATCTCTCAGGCAGTGGTGGCACAAGTTACCGGTTAGTAGCAGACTTACACTCACATAGTGGCATAGTGTTGTTGATTTTAAAATGCTTTTTTTTTCCTACTACCTGTGTATTGCTTGTTAAATGGCCTCCTTTGCATTTTAAATTGACATTTCTATGTCACCACTGAAACTTGATTCAGTTTTTTTGTTGAGTATTGGACACATCTGACAATCACATTAACCACAGTGTACATACATAGATTTATTTGTGGCAGGCCACCATAATATCAACATTGACCACCACATATTGATTTAATATAGGTTAAATCTTATTTTAATGTAGAGCTGTGCTAGTGCACGTGTTTGCTCAGTCTCTCTGTGCACCGTTCTGTTTCTCTATCACACACACACGATAACCATTATGACAGACCATCTATGAACAGCTCCTCTGTTCCATGTCTGTTTGTTTGTTTGTTTTTTTAAACAAAACATGTCCACCCCATCACCACAATTAGAATGTAATTCTGTTGGAAACACTGTATTATTTACTAAGATACTTTCTAAATGACCATGACTCGTTGATTGACAAGGCGAATCTCATTTTATGAATTGAATCGCTTGTGTTTCCTTTATTTTTTTATTTTTTAAGCTGTGTCAGTGTACACAGAGTAAAATCACAGCAGGCTGGAAACTTCTACAAACAGAAGTCTTGGCTTCAAATTTCCTGAGGACCAAACTAACTATAGTGTGAAAAAAGAAGGATGATGGAAATGAAGGGCAGTTAGCAAAGTTGGCTCGCGTACGAACACAAATAACCACAAATGAAAATATAGAAGACAAGCCATATATTCAGACAAAACGGGCAACTCATCTTGACGTCGATGATTCATTTACTTCTGTCCTCCTTGGCCTGTCATACTGGTCTACCAATGTGCTGGTCATAGAATATTAGCCTTTAAATACATATTGTGCTGTGCTGACAGTGGTGCTTTGACTCAAGCACTTCTTTTCACATGGTGTCACCTTCTGCACATGGAACAAACAAGTTCTTGATGCATCTGAAGAGCATCTTTGACTTTTTGGTCAATGTGTGGGCAGTTTGTCTATAAGATGGCACTGTTGATTTTGGCTGCATGTACCTGGCACTATTTCTTGACTTTAAGAGAGCAAACAACAGCTTGTGAGCACAAACAACAGCTTGTGAATAATTGTGTCCTCGTTGGATAACATTACCACACATGACTGTTGCATATAAAGTGTATTTTAAACCTGCCACAAAATGGAATTATCATTGCACACATTTTATTTTACTTACTTATTGGTTTGATGATAGTTTATGTAAAAAAAAAAATTACGGTGTATTGAGTACTTTGTAATAACTGGTCTGGCTATGATATTGATGCAAACATCTTGGTGTGAGTCTCTCTAAGCCCATATCAGTCTGAGTTTACCAGCTAACAGTGCAAACGTGTGTGCAGCAGTATTTGTGTGAGAGAGGAAACACATTTAGAGCTAAGAAGAGTGAAAACCCTTTTTCCCTCTAGTATTCCCCTCTGTCTGGCTTGACTTTTTCTACAAATCGTACTGGCGCGTGATGCTAAACACTCTGTTGTAATTTGATGTCTGGCTGCTTTCCAGGCATCAGCCAGAGCAGGATCTCCCATTGGCTACTGCAGCATGGCTCTGACCTGAGTGAGCAGAAGAAGAGGGCCTTCTACCGCTGGTACACGCTGGAGAAAACCACACCAGGTACATCTGACTTCAGTACCCCCCTGACTCTGTGCGTGCGTGTTTGGTGATGTTTGTATAGCTTAATAAACGGCTGTGGTTAAAAATGGAAGCAAAATTTGGAAGAACGTCAGAGGGGGATTTCCTTTCCAGGACGCTGGAGTACGTAGTGAGTGCCAAGAATGGGCAACAAAATAAAATATTTAGCTGAGCAATCTGGTATTTATTAGCTGCTGTTTCTTTGTCACCCTTGCCTGCCCCTGATGATGGTTTGAAAGTGATGCCAAAAGCTTGAGAAAACTGCTACTGTGCCTCTGTCCTTTTTTGGAGTAACTTTATTCTTATAAAATATTTAGAATAAATGTAATATGAATGTCTGAGTCTGGCTAGACTACCAGCATTGGTATTGTTATTAAGGTTGTCACAGAAACTACTCTCTTACTACATATGCAAAGCGGTGGTTGGCCAAATTAAGAAAAACGATGAGTTTGAAGCCTTTATGGAAAGACAACAGTGGAGTCTGGCAGGGAGGCAGCTGCAAAGAAAAGAACCATAGTAGGAAAACACTATACTGCCTGCAGTTTCCTGTGTAACTGTTAATAACATAAAAAAGAAGTCGCCAGGCTCTTGTGTTATATGGGCACACTGGGATGTGATGTATACAGTAAATATACAGGTTAGCAGAAGCATCTTGATGACACTGTTGGAGACAAAGCAGGGTAAAACTGTTGCAGCAGCTGTTTGTAGGAACTGACTCTGAGTGCTGTTGTGGCACAAGATATCTCATTAATGTGCACCTCCAACAAGAGGATATGTGGGAATGTGCTGTAATGCCAGCACTCTGGGAAATCACCAACTATATTGTGAGATATATATATAAGCTAATGGTTCCAGTAGTCCAACAAATAAAAGTTCATCTAGTCATAAACTGTAGTAATATACAGTTATCCATATAGCCATTTAGGGTGAGGTTCCCACTGAGCCTGTCCCATTAACCGCACTTGTACTTACAAGCTGACATGTTTGTGCAACATATTTCTGATAATTACAAAGTCATTAAGTTGGGTTATAGATGCGGGAAGGCCTATTGTAGATAAAAGAGATGTATTCATATTCTCACTGGATTCGGTCTGTAATGTATAAAAGACTATATTAACTTGTGCCAACTGGCGTTCAACTTAGATCTCAGCAACTGAAGAGACAATTGCTGATTATGTTTTTCCTGCCCAAATGAAGGAACGGCCATGATTACAACTGTTAATCAGCACAAGTGATTCTGCTTAATTTAAAACAAGCCATCCATTCTCCATCTCCCAGTCACTAGTATGATCACGGCTCATAAATAGGCGACTTCCTTGTCGTTACCATGCTAGTGTGCTGTTGAATGATAGAATCATTATTTTATGGTCACTGAAAAAAATGAACAAAGATGCAGGTTATTCACAGCAGCTGTGCTGTGAGGCCAGCTGTATTGACTTTTCAAATGAGTAATCAAAGAGAGAAGTCAGAGCTGTGCTTCCTGAAACACAAGCAAACATGAGTGCTTGAGAGAAGTGTGGCACTGGGACAGACCCACGGTTAAGTCCTTGAAGGCCACTCTCAAGTCTCCATGAGCAAATCAGGAATCGAGTTCTGTGTTGTAGTTTAGGATAAGGCTACTTTGGTTTTTGTCAAATTTGTTTGAATGATATACAACTTAATTTCGCATTTATTCATAGTAAAGACTGTTTTACAAAAAAAAAAAAGTAGTTTCATGGTTATACCAGGTCTCAAGTCAAGTTTTTCTTCACAAAAAACTGCATGTAAACTGTGCAACATTTAAACACTTGATCAAGGCAGGACTACAGACATATATATGGTGGACATGGTGTCACCACTTCCCTCAACTATGCAAAGGTGAAGCCAAAATACTGTGAATACAGCAGCTGCCATCTTGCTTTATTGCAACCAGATTCTGCACAGTAGTGACCAGAGGAGGAGTGACAGCATCGGACCACCAGTCAAAGCTCTCAAATCAAGTAAAATACACACCTCAATAACTTATTAAAAACAAACTTACCAGAAATATCACCACTTGTGCACACATCAGCATGATGATATCTACAGTGGGTACGGAAAGTATTCAGACCCCCTTAAATTTTTCACTCTTTGTTATATTGCAGCCATATGCTAAAATCATTTAAGTTCATTTTTTTCCTCATTAATGTACACACAGCACCCCATATTGACAGAAAAACACAGAATTTTTGACATTTTTGCAGATTTATTAAAAAAGAAAAACTGAAATATCACATGGTCATAAGTATTCAGACCCTTTGCTCAGTATTTAGTAGAAGCACCTTTTGAGAAGCCATGAGTCCTTTTGGGAATGATGCAACAAGTTTTTCACACCTGCATTTGGGGATCCTCTGCCATTCCTCCTT